ACTGTGCTAGACAGATTTTTGAGCTTGCCTGATTCAACACACGGGAAGTTCACACATTTAGTAATATCACTCACATCTTTATTCTTTGCCCCTGGTTACAGTAGACAGGTGGTCAAACATCTTAACTTGAATTGTATACATAGTTGACTACAGAATACATGTGCATCCCATCAAAGAGAAAGCAAGTTTCTAGAGATTTGCACGCATGACTTTTATAAAGAAAACTTTTGGATCAAAAGCAGCCAAGGAAGGATGAGCTCATCATATCCAATGCTGCTTCTTGGCCAGTGGATAGTTCTTCTGATGCAAGTATTTCTGTCAGCAGGAAAAGAATAATTTTCTTCCATCCTGAAAACTCCCAGTGCATCCTAAAAGTGGCTCTGGAGGGCTCTGGCAGTCCTCTGAAACAAATTTTTGGCTATTATGAATGATGGGGAGGTGAGAAGAACGTATTAAAATTGCACTATTGAATTTAATTGCACTAATCACATTAAATGCATCTGTGCCATGTTGCACTTCAGAACCTCACCACTCCCCACATACATGCCTATATATATATATATAGAGAGAGAGAGAGAGAGAGAGAGAAGACTTTCACCATTGAAGGGGGGCTGCCTTGATTTAATTCACCTAATAGTCTTTCTTCATTACCATGAGATTTACATAAGCAAAACCCAGTTCTCAGCAATTCCAAGGAAAACACAGCTTTTCCCTTGAGCTTGAACTCAAAGCCTAGCATCATAATCCATCCTGTATTCATGAGCAGCTCTGCTGATGGAGACCTGCTGAAGTGAAGTGCATTTGCTGTGTAAATGGGTATCAAAAAACATCTGCCAGCACATCTTTATCAGGAACCACCACTAGCACCTCTATGTAGCTGCTTAAAAATTACAGCTTGGTCAATATCCCATTCAGTACTTCCATTTTATCACAGCATTGTGCCCTGTTATTTTAGGAATTTTTTCCACATATAGATTAGGATCAGACAAATTTTAATTCAAATACTACAAAATATCAGCAAGGCATGTGCAACAGAACAGCTGTTCAAATATTATGACTAACATCTGTGCTACTGTTTATTAAAATAAATCTCTATACTGATATTACATTTTGATCGAACAGCTCTACTGTGCTAATGGTGCTATTCTTATGCGCCTACATGACAATAATATTGCATCATTATTTACACAGTGCCATTAATATACATAATGGTTTACAAAGAGCATGAGATAGCAGTGAAGATGGAGGATAAAGAGAGAGAAGAGTAACAAGGCACGACCATGAGCAAATGAGTCACAAGGCATCAACAACAGCGAACACATACAGAATTTTGACTATCACAATGTAATGTTTTGGCTAGGAACTATTAAAATCCAAACTCTCACAAAACTACCAGAAAACCTTCTGGACAGCAGTTGCATCTGTAATGTCAGCCATGTGATTCTGCACTCCCTAACTCTCTAATACTTTTTTAAAAGTACCATATATATTCAACTATAAGTCGACCTCATGTATAAGTCAAGGGCAATAGTAACCTTCATTTGGAAAATAAAGCAAAGCAAAGCAAAGCAGCTTCATTTATATACCACTTCATACCTCACTATGCAGTGTCTAAGCAGTTTACAATTGCAGTTAGCCTCTTGTAGATTTAAGTAAGGAATGCACTACAAAATGTATGTGATTTTGCCCCATCTCATGCCCCAAATATGTATCCCTGCATGACATAACATGGATAGAGAAGTTAATGTTTAACATTATGTGATGTACTATACTAATTTTATAACGCACTGTTAATACATGTTTTGCAAGAAAAAACAAGCTGCCCTGGGAATTCTCAATAGTCCCAAGAAAGAGGGAGGTAAGCCTTGACTTCTACTTCTTTGTTATTCACACTAAGCATCTACTCTTCTGAATATTAATATTAATTACCTTATATTGGGGCTAGTCCGCACAATTAAAATACTTCTCATTCCTAAGGAATAGGCTGTGATCTGGCCACATGTGAGTTGGAGGAATTTAAGCTTTGGAGGAGGGCTCAAAAAACTCCATACATTTCACTGAAAAAGGATTCACAGTTTTTACTGGAGTGTTTGTGAGTATCCTTGAGGATGTGCATTGTTAAACATGTGGCTATCCATCTACTTTGCATGGCTCCACATTTTCAGCAGAGAGCAGGCAAACAGATGCAAATTTGCACAGGAAATTGAAGACAATTAAGTGTCAATGTGGATGTGTGAAATTTCACAGCAGTTTGTGGACTAGCCCTTGGAGACAGAGAACACACAAAAGAAATTTAATCTAAACAAACAAATAAATACATAAATAACAGAAAATGCGATATTGACACCTTTTACAGATTGAAAATCACTTTGCTACTTTAGGAAAACAAAATGTTGTTACTTTAGGAAAACACAATTTATCCATAAAACAATGATAAACTGAATGTCCTTGTACTGATTTTGTTAGAAAGGCTGCTACAATGTCTTGAATGGAAAGAGTCTCTTTGGTTTGGCCAGTTTATAAATAGATGACAAAAGAATAAGCCATCAGCATTAGCAGAACAGAAAAAAGAATCCTCTTGTTCTCCACAGTGTCAACCAGGCATAAAAGTTCTCATTCCTATAACAGGACCTAGAGAAAAGAAAACCAAGAACAGCAACTGCAATCAGGTGCTGTACAATGTATTGGACAAATGTCTTCCTGTTATACAGTTATTAGAAATAGTGGGGAATATATAAATACTCTGAAAATAAATATTCCTCAATCCATATTTTAAATGTTTATTTTCATCTTCAATTTTGCCAGGAAACAAAGGGTCCAGAAAAAAAGGAAAACAGCCAGAGGGAAATATCTCTAGGGCCAATGGAACACTTTATTCAGATCTTAAATCACTTATCTTACAATGAACAGAATCAGTTGCTGCCGTTTTTTATTATGGCAGTCCTGAATGCTATTATGGCCATAAGCTAAGTATACTAACATAGAAAGTACTTTAGTATTTCATAATTATTTGTTGCTAACTGGCACAAGTGTCAGATTTGGACAAAGGGAACATGTTTATTATTATCATTTTGAAGCAGATAGCTATGCTAGAACATTTTTTAAATGTAGTTATTTAGTATTCTGGTTAAAAAAAGGAATGTTGTAGTATCCAAACAAGACTAATTGTTTTCACGATATTCACAGTCAATATGCATATAGGACTAACTTTACAGAAGCACATTCACAGAATGATAATCCTCAATTCTAAAGAACTTTGCCTTATCATTCACAAGAAAGCCTGTTGCTGCTGATTTAAAAAATCATATTTTCAATCCCTCTCCTAAGGTTCCTTAAAGTGAAATTTAGCTTTTTTTATAGCTGCCAAACACAGGCTCAATATGTTCATTGATTCCCTGAGGTAATCACAAAAGCCATGACCCCAAGATCCCTTCCCCCATCAGAGATGTAAGGCAGTCAAACAAATTTTACACACTACCATTCCTGCAGGAACACAGAGGAAACTTTTATCACTTGAGCCTAGTTCACTCTACAGAGCAACAGCCAGTGGAAATAGGAAATCTGGCCTTCCTGTTTTAAGTAATCAACAGGAAACAGATGAAGATATCCCATTTGAGGAAACCCGACAGGAGTAAGTGAATTGGAAGGAATTGCAAATATATGGAGGAGCCTTTCACTCTTTGGTTTAATCACTCAGTTTTCACTAAAAAAAATGCTTCTATTTTGGCAAAAACCTTTCCTACAAGAGAGAAACCAAAAACACTGAAGTTCGGGGAACCACCAGGCATCATTCTTCACTTTCTGTTTGCAGCAGCTTTCTATTTTCCAACTTTTGCATGGATGACAACTTTAAATGGCTGTAAAGATGCTTTACAGGGCTATTTTTTCTATATGGTTATTCATATGACAGCCAGTTTGAAAAGACACCGCCATTTACTCAGCTTGGGCCCATACTATCTGAAAGACTGTATCTCCTGTATGAGCCCAACTTGAGCTTGAAAATCCTCAGGGAAGGGATCCTGTAGTGCCAAACCTAAAAAGTAAAATTTCCAAACTCTGGTCTTTTCTTGCCTCTAGAACTTGCTCCCCAGCAAAAAAAAAAATCTGCCTCTAGAGATGTAAAAGCTGAGAAGGGAAAAACTGGAGAACACAGTTTTGCATGAATGGCAATACTGGGATAAAGTTGAGATGTACATTAAATACTAGTAATAATAATATATACTACATGCAACCTCAAGGCAACTTTCAGAACAGTTCGTGCAAAAGACAAAGTATTATAACGTGTGCTTTAAATGATCAGATTTAAGAGGCATCCAAACAAGAGAAACCTATCTCAAAATCTAATAGGATGCTTCTGTATGCACTTTCAGCTGTTAAACTCGTATTTTGTACATTGAGTAGGAAAAAAATATCCAGACTTTAAAAAGCACACATACACATACACACAAATGTGGTTGGATAATGAGAATGTACTGCCAAAGGAAATTGTAAAATTACCTTCTCTGGAGATCTTTTAAGGAGAGCCTGAATAAACATCTGCCAGGGATTAGTTAAGTCCAACAGAGAATCCTGCCACAATGTGGAAGATTCAGTTTCATGATCCAGGAAGTCCTTTTTCATGTTTACTAATCTGTAACTCTTATTCAGCAAAAATTCAGCAGAAGAATTTAAATAAACTATCAAGTTTCTACAGAATAAAAACTTTTTTGCTGAAACTATACTTGATAATTACAATTCAAACAAACTTCATGTACACACAAATCACATATGCACACAAGTGAATTCTACATTTTCAGTCTGAGATGCAGTCTTCATGTACATCATGGAATACTATTCCAGATGGTTCCTCATAATTTAGGAACAGCTTTGGAAAGGAGTGTAGATACAGGAGGCTATCTGTGGAAGCAAATAATCATCAAAAAAGCACTTGTGTGCAGCATGTCATAAGCTGAATGCTGCTCACACATTTTTTGTGAAAATATTGGGGTACAATCTACAGAGCCAGTGTGCTTAGTGGTATATATAAGTATTGGATTAGGACTCAGGAGACCCAGGTTCAAATCCTTGCTCAGCCATGGAAAGCTACTGAGCAAGATACACTCTCTCATGCTTAAAGCAAGGGAAATGGCAAACATCCTCTGAATAAATCTTGCCAAAAAAACTCCTATGAAAGAGTTTCCCTAAGCTGGAGTTGAAGGCACATAACAATAACAAACGTAGTGAATACTTCCACTCCATAATGGGCATTCATTTCTTTACTTCTTCCAATATTCTAAAGGCTGTGAAGTGTTATGTAGCCAACATGATACCATCTACCCAATTGTAAAATTTTAGATAACCGAAATTATATCATCCACACAAAGGAGAGAGGTACCAATAGACTTTGAGGATAACCCTAAAAATGATTTTGAGGGGAAACTTGTTGGGCATGTAAGCTAAGCAGTCTTACAAGGACTGAGAATGCTTAGCAAACATATAACACTGATTTAACAACTAAGTGAAAACTAAAGAAACATGTAGCAGAGAATGAAATGGAGTATTCTGAAATGGGCATGGCTGGCTGGCTAAATGGCATACTTCAACGGGAATACTCCACACTTCAAGATTTTGTGTAAAAAGAAAGGAAGGAAACAGATACTAGTATGGATCTTTTAAAAAATCCACCATGGCTTCCAAGTATGGGATCCCAACCTATCTCCAGTACTTGGGTAGCCATTTTATGTTACAGATTTCTTTGTAGAGTCTGAAGAAGAATGTTCCATGTCACAGCTATGTAACTCCACTCTGGACTTTAGTTCAAACTGTAAAAAAGCATTTCAAGCTATTTGGATAATAGACACCCTGGATAATCCCTTTAAGGCCAAAATAAAACCCAGAATGAATTAATGCACCCTTCATATGGAATCCTAAATTCTGTCACTGATGAGTGTTGCCTCTTCTGCAAAGCCCATTCCTTCTGCAGGCTTAAAACCATCCCATAACTTCATTTATAAGCAAATAACTGCTTCCTTCAATGGCCATTTTAAATAATCTAAGAAAGATGGCACAATGTTCCCTATGGTGGTGAGACAATTTTTTCCCCTCAGAGACCTAAAACTCTCAAAGGAAAGAACAAGAGACATGAAGAATGTCATGAAGAGGAATTACATGGATGGTAAGTATTGCACTTAAGGGGGGAAAGCACAGGAGAATCTTTTACCAATTCTGAAGATGTGGTGAGTTAGCAAAAGGTTCTGCTGAATCCCAGACTGAATCATCAACCAGGAAATTGCTTTTTCCACAATCGTGCTTCAGACACAGTCAGTATATTTCTCTTTGTTGTAATAAAAATCTTTGCAGTTCCAGGGAATAAATTTACTTAGAATTAAGAACATTTCTAGATTTCTTTGAGAGCCACTTCAAAAATGTAGACAATCATGTAGCACAGTCATTCTCCAATTAATCCTTGCACATAGAAAACTAGCATTTCAATGGCATGATTAGATTAAACTTTTCCTCAGATTATTTGAACCAATCCCTACATATTGCCAAATACTGGTATATTGTTCTGGAAAATGCTACAAGTAAGAAGATTGTGAGAGCATGAGAGAAACTATAAGCACAATTCCCAATTCATACTGAGTCTTGAACAAGGAAGGTGTATCATTGCTAGTAACTGACTAACAAAGGGAACTGTAAGAATAACTATTTAGATGAGTAACAAATGTCCCAGACGCTCTTAGACCAAAGTGTGTGTGTGTGTGTGTGTGTGTGTGTGTGTGTGTGTGTGTAGTTGTCAAGTCCCTTGTTGACATGAACTTCATAGCGTTTTCTTAGACAAGGAATATTTAGAGGTGGTTTTGCCAGTTCCTTCCTCTGAAATATAGCCTACAGCACCTGGTATTCCTTGGTCTTCCATCCAAACAGAGCTGACCCTGCTTAACTTCCAAGATCAGACAGGATCTGGTGCCTTTAGGGAGGCAAAACCTTTATTAAAGTGTTGGTGAAGTTTGTTCTCTGAGGATAAGAGAAAGTTTGTTATGGTCACTTCACTTCTGTCCAGCTGATCAGGAGCTGAATCTGAGATCTTCACAGCTAAAGAGGCAATCTACTTATTACTATTTTTTTTTTTACTTTAGCATGTGGCGAAAAAGAAGAGCTTCTCTTCACATAATAGCTTCTCCTACATGTTCTTGCCCGTCCTTTAAATCCTGACTATGTTTCTATTTGCTTTGTCATGTTTCAGCAAGCATTACTATTCCCATTACAAAGAGAATTCTATAATTCCCATTACAAAGAGAATTCTATAATTCTATAAAAGCTCCTGTTCTCGCAAAACTTTAGTATACACAGATATAGTAGGAACTGATACAGTCCAATAACAAAAGAAAACATAAAATTCAGCTTACTTAGTGTTAAAACTAGGTGAATTCTTCCTTTAAACTTTAGCAGTAAGTATGAAATGGATTTGCGATGTTATCAAGTGTGATCACTGAGCAGTTCTTTCATTCATCAGAAAGACAGTATGGATCTGATGCTCACAGAAAACTATCAACTAAACTATGGTGCTGCCTTTAGCAAATTATCAAAAGAAAATAAGGGATAGAAAATAAATAGGCAAGGTGTTGGGGAGAAGGTAATCCTGTGCAAAGTTTCAGTGATGTAGTTGCAAGATAAAATGTTTTAAGTCTATAGAGCAGGGGTAGGCAACCTAAGGCCCGGTGGCCAGATGGCCTTTGGACCGGCCCTAGGTCAGTTCTGCCGCCACTGCTGCCGCTGCCCCCCGCCGCCGCCCGCCATGATGATATTGATTATTGTTGTTATTACTTGTCCTTGGGGTTTTCTTGGCAAAATCTCCACAGGGGTTTTGCCATGTCTTTTCTGGGGCTGAGAGAGTGTGCATGCATTTTTTTTAATTTTTAATTTTTATTTATTTATTTATTTGTTTGTTTGTTTTTGGTGCTTTGGCCCCCCAATTGTCTGAGGGACAGCAACCCAGCCCCCGGCTCAAAAAGGTTGCCTACCCCTGCTGTAGAGAAACTAAAATGCAGTTGTTAAACTAATCACCCATTTCTGATACTGGGGCGGTCGGACTGAATTTAGATCACCAATGACTGGTTCAAGATACCTTTTTGCCGAAATATTTTTCTCCATGTCATGGAGATGTCAGTAAAAAGAGAAGATGACTCTGGTGACTAGGGTTCAAGTTCCCACTCAGCCACAGAAACCCACTGAGTGACCTTGGGCAAGTCATACTCTCTCATTCTTACAGAAAGGCAATGGCAAACCTCCTCTGAATAAATCTTGTCAAGAAAACCCTGTGAGAGGGATACCACAAGTTAAAGTTAACTTGAAGGCACAAACAGGGGTTCTTGCTATTGTTGTTCTAAAATTAAGCATTACGCTAGACTCCAAGAGACCACCAATGAAATCTTTGTTCAACTATAGAAACAGAATGGATGACCTTGCAAATTATACTCTCTCAGCCTTAGAGAAAGGCAATGCCAAACCTCCTCTGAATAACTCAGACCAATAAAACAATATGTGAAAGTCACCTTAAGGTGGAGTCAACTTGGAGGCTCATATCAACAAAAAGTGTTGGCATAAGTCTCTTCCCTGAAAGCAAGAGGGTTTATATCAGTGAGCTTTAAAGTTAATTTTTGAGATTTGAATTTCTAGAAACCTGTAACCAGTATGGTCAGCAAGCTAGCTGGAAGATTCCAGGAGTTGAGATCCAAAAAACTAACCTTAAAACAATTCTAGTTTACACAACAGACAATTCCAACAAATAACCTATCCAGAAAACATGCAGACTAAAGCAACACCACCCAGAAAAGGCCTTACTGCATAATTTTGCTGAATGTGTAAAATGGCCCTGAGTCTAAAGGCAAAGGATCCTGACAAGCAGAAGCATACATGTGAGGATCTATCATACCAATTCCATGCCAAGATACACTCAGACTTACTCACATAATATTGCCAACACAGATACGCTTCATGATCATCAATGTGAATGATTTCTCCTCCTTCCTAGCTACAACCCTGACAAGTGTTATTAACATTTTTATCAAGTCCTGCCCCATTAATTTGTTAGGATAAATTACAGGTGGCTATGATTATAATAAATAGAAAATATCTATTAGATTTTCCAGCTAGTTCTCATTCAGAATAAATATGTCAGTAGCATAGCACAGACTGTCCTAAAGAGAGTTTCACCTATTAAATAAATGTGACACTTGAACTACTGTTAACTTTTCTCCCATTATTTTCATTAGTGCCTATCTTCAGTCTCTAAGCAAATTACCAAAGATTTTGTGTGAATGAATACAGATAATTGGCTATGCTTACATAGGCAATGCAAATGTTGTAAAGTGGCCATGCCTAGCTGAGAAAGGAGAACTTCTAGGGGGTGCATGTACACACACCACTTCAAGTCCTGTAGCATCATCCTACGGAATCCTGGGATTTTACCAAGTCTTTAGCCTCCTCTGCCAAATAGTGTTTAAAAGGTAAAGGTATTCCATGTTGACAAGATTGTCAAGTCGTGTCCAACCATCTCAATTAATAATAATAATAATAATAATAATAATAATAATAATACATTTTATTTTTATACCGCCCATTGGTAGTCCAATCCGGGTGGTTTACAGCATAAAAATTAACATATAACACAAAACAACATGGGCCTGCATCTCTCCCCCAGATGACATCGGATGGAGTGGAGGGAGGGCTCTTCTGCTTAGGCTAGGCCCGATGGAGATGGGCCTGCATCTTCCCCCCAGATGACGTTGGATAGAGTGGAGGGAGGGCTCTTCTTCTTAAGCTAGGCCCGATGGAGATGGGCCTGCATCTTCCCCCCAGATGACGTCGGATGGAGTGGAGGGAGGGCTCTTCTGCTTAGGCTAGGCCTGATGGTTTTACTCGTGGTGCTCATCTCCATTACTAAGCCAAAGAGCCAGCACTGTGAAGAGACTACTCTGTGATCATGTGGCCAGCATGATTGCACAGAATGCTGTTTACCTTCCCACCGAAGTGGTACCTATTTATCTACTTGCATTTACATGCTTTTGAACTGGTAGGCTGGCAGAAGCTAGTG